AAGACTAAAACAGGCCACCTGGTTCATAGAAACCTAGACATGGTGTTGAAACACAAGCAAACATTTGATTTTTTTCATTCCTTGGACTGAAATTGGTGGTCTTGTCCCTTTTCTGGGAAAACAGACATTTATTGAAACAGGAGAGATTCTAACTTGATATAATGCAATCTTTTTTCACCATTATAATAGTCAAATATAGAACAGGCTGCCCAGAGAGGTTGTGTAGTCTTTACCTCTGAAGGTTTTCAAGGCACTACTGGATAAATCCCCAGTTAGCCTGGGCCAGACAATGGCAGTCTCATTTGTATAGTGAATTGTGGCAGTTATAGGTGCAAAGATTGTCTAAATCCTTTCTACTTTGCTTTGAGTTCTGCCAGCAACTAAAAAGGCTATCCATTGCAAGCAAGTATTATTTTATTGGTATCTTAACAAAGATATCTGAATATCTGAAACTAATAGAAGCTGCAGAGAGTCTTTTAGTATTTGGGTCAGAAAAAAACAAAAGCTTATCAATATATGGCAAACTTGTCTACCATCTCTCCTACTGTCCTGTCTCCAATAGTGACAATAAGTCAATATACATAGGTAAAGAAGAATGGGATAAGCATATTTGATACTTAGCTAGCCTCAAACTATTTTCAGCTTGGGTTACTTTCTGAACTAGATATGGTTTCTAGGCATGAGTGTTTAACAACTGCCAACTGCAGGAATTTCTGTCAAACTGTAAATAATTAGTTGGAGGGATTATAAAGACTAAGAGCAATAACTGTCATTGTTAAAATCTCCTGCAGTGATATATGCTTCTTATTTATTTAGCCTTTCGTTGTAGCCATCACCTCTTCTGGGAATTAGTCTTGAAGAATCACTCTTAATTTAATTAATCCATAACTGTTTAGTTGAAATTGTGTCTCATTTGAAAATACTCATACTGTAAGATGACATATACCAGCTTGTTCTTACACCTGTTGAAAGCACTTGGATTAACCAGTGAACACTGTACCAAGAAAAGTCACGAGGGGCTTATTGAAGTTCTGAAGTTCTGTGCAGCTTGGGAAATCTTCACTGATGGTGTCCCATGTAAAGTCAGCCTGATAGTACTGACAACATTTCTTAGAAGCTCTAGAAAATTAATGCTGTTTTGAAAACATTATTCCCTCAGCTCCCCCTTTCTTCCCCCTCCAACTTCAGGACCACTTCTTTCATTTTGGAACTTCTATCCACTGATAACTAATGTGAACATGAGCTAATCCAGTGAGGATAGTCATCTTTCCTATAGGTATGTGATAGTACTAATGTAGCAGATTCACATTGGGACAGGCTGTTTGTAAATCTCTGTTAAAAGTATTCTTAAAAACCATGACAAAATAACATCAATGAGCAAAATTATAACTGAAGGCTTGATTGCAAAAATGTTTCCAAGGCCATGTAGAGATGATTTGGTGAAATGGTACTGTTTCACAAGTAGCATAAATATTGACAAGATCCACCCCCCCTCCCCCCCCAAATCCTAATTAAAAATGTGGGGTGGTATGGAAAGCTATCTTCTGTATTTAAAGTAGCTGTTTAATTTTGCAAAATTAGTTCAGAAGAAAAAACAGATAACTTTGGATTAAGCAATGGCTTAATCAGATTCAAGACTCAATTTAAGGGTGTTGGCATAAAAGACTTTTATTAAATATAAAAACAATGCTGATATGTAGAGCAAGAGTTAGCTTTCTGAGAAACAGTTATAAAACCATCTGTTCAAGAGAGCTGAGAATTTGGAGAATGATTCTGTGGATAAATTTCTGTGTCTTTCATTTAGAAGGATTTAGTCTTGCTTTTGCTATGGACATTTGTTCAGTGAAGGACTCTCATATAGTTAATGTAATGCTGCTGAAGTAAGCTTTTACAGCTTGAATACGTACTTTGGAAATGAGCAGTGATTTGTAAGCCTAGAGGAAAACTGTAATGATTATCTTGAATATGTTAGCTGCAAGAACTGAATGATTAATTACATAAGTATCTACTTCCTCTTTTAATATCTAAGACTGTGGATATCATAGAGTATAGCATCAATACTGCTGCTTCGCGGCGGGATGATCAACCCTTGGAGCAATGGAAATGAAATTTTTTATCAGCTCTTAGAGTTTCTCCCTTCATATGTGTTATTTTGACACTGAATGCATTTTGATATGGGCCTTTTTTTGCTAAACTTTAATTGGTGCCACTGTCCTATTTCAGTCAACTGAGACCTCTTAATCTAAGAATTAAAGGAAGAATCCTGCCTTTACAAATAGCCCCCAAACTGGTCATACTAATGCTACACCCTTAAATTAATTTTCAGTGTTCGTGGCGAAGGCCAATTTTGTAGGATTTTTATGGAATAAAATTCAGAGTCTGGTTCTACTCATTCTTTCTGGTCTTGACCGGACAGTGACAGTTTATACACAAGTTGTCAACTGAATTAGACAAACCGTATGTACTCCCACCACCCTCCTGTTTGTGGGTGGCAGTGTACGGGAACAGAATTGGGTACTTTCTCTGCTTGGCGTTCCTCAACGGTGTGGATCCAAAAGATGCAACTCGACTGCAGAACTGTTTTGCTAGTCAACAAGTACTGTACACCACCCACACTTCTAACTAGCAGATGGTGAGGCAAGCCTGTAGAACATGATGAGGGATTTCACTACATCTCTAAAGTAAATAAATAATATTTGAAAACTCTATTTCAAAATCTAAGTTACAGAATTAATTAGCCATGGAAACATAGCATTGTATAAGATTTTACATTTTCTGTAAAACTTTCATGGTCACCTGAGATAAATATTCCTTCAGTAATTTAAAATACTTCTTAAACACGAGACAGTATTTATTTAACGTATTGGTCATCCTAATGTTCTAAATATCAGAGACTTCTGACTAAAGACATTTGTTCTGGAAGAAAAGAAAAGATAAAGTAGTACTCTACTGCAAGTCCTCCTTTTGATTTAAAAAACAAAAACCAAAACGAATTAGGTATGCATTTGGAAGAAGTAGTCTTTCAGCACAACTAAGCAGACCAAATAACTTCATTACCTTCAAACTATTATGCATTTGTGTGAAACCATGATAAAATTACAATGCTGTCAGCACTGTATTCTTTCTGTGATTTCCAAATCATAGTAGTAACAAATACATTTTTCCTAGTCACCAGCCCAATGGACTGCTGTTTGCTCTGGACATCAAGCTAGGTTCTTCGCTGCTGTTCATGAATACAAGATTCTGCAGGCCAGGTCATGGTTGCTTCTGTTTCTCTCTTGATTGTATTCAGCTGCTTCTTTCTGTGACTGTTATGTGACTTTTTGCATAGGTACATAGATTTGGCTTGAATAATCTCAGTTTGTGATTTTAGTATTATTTAGTAATTTAAAAATAATAATAATTTATAACTATGTATCTCTATGAATTAAAGTTACCACTAGAATGAAAGATTGTAAAATTCAAGTCAGATTCATTTTTCTGAATAGGAGTATGCTTAGAACTTTATTAAGACAGGGGCTTTGCCTTACTGAGCTCGCCATCAATATGATAAGTTGCAATACTGATGTTTGCTCTAACAGACACATTTAATACATAAAAATGAAATTTCCACAAAGTAATCACTTAGTGTCACAGTGAGGAATAAAGATAGTCTGATTATAGAAACAGTATTATGTTCTAACACCATGTTCAACGTCCTATGGATATGTAATAGCAGCAGTAAAATTCAAGGAAAATTGCTAATTACGTTTCACCCAGGAGTCTGTATCTAATTTGATCAATTTTATCAGAAATGTCTGACCTGTCAGCCTCGCTCACTTCTCCACACTGACCTCTGTTCTGACTTTCTGTTCTGTTAAGATCACTTAATTTCTCTTCAGCATAGTAGTTTATCTAAGGAACCTCATCCCATTTATTTTAAAAATCTGTTTTCTGCACTTCGTGCCTATCAGCAGCACACCTTCTAGCATATACTTTATCCAGACTGAATCATTAATTGAACTTACACAGTACCTCTCGGCTCCAAAATAAGGCATTTTACAAAAGATATGTGTAATATAATCATGAAGTTGATATAGTGGTTCCAAATTCTAAGCTGAAAGAAAAAGGAAAAACAAGTAGGTTTTCAAGTTGATTTTATAGATGAAAGGAGTCAAGTATTTTTTCTATCTTTGAGTAATTAGAGAGAAGATACTAAGTGGAAAAAAACACATTATGTGATATGACCTTTATTTATTGCTAAGATTTGAACTCCAGTATCAGAATATTCCTGCTATTGTAAATTATTATCATCTAGTTTTATGAAAAGTGCAGAGGAAATTAAGAGAAGGAAGTGGAGTCTGCTTTGTAGTGAGTCAAGACTGAAATTACTGCCTTCTTCCATTTGCTTTAAATGGATCTTTACAATGTGTATTTTTTTTTGTTGTCATTCGGCTGGCTGTTGGGTGTCCATGTGGCATCCTCACAGGGAATGCATTACAGTACTTTTAAGAGGACAAAAATGATATAATGAGTAAGATTTGTTTACTCACATTAATAGCAAAATCATATCCATTAGCATTCTAAATATAGGAATCTTATTCAAATCTTTCTGATATCTGAATTCCAAGAGGATGTAATGTATTTATCTGTTCTCTAGTCCATTTTATTGAAATGCCATTATTGTAAACAAGTTGTGAATGCTGTAGTTCATTTGTATCCATTAAATCCAAAGACATTATAACATGAAATGAGTGGAAAGGACAAGTGAACAGAATTTAAACCACTGTGTTGTGAGAAGAGCTGCAGTAGAAGTGGAAAAAATATTAACTGTACTTCCACTTGAAGAATTAGGCTGGTAAAGGAAATAAATGCAACCTTGCGAATGTAATTGTACGTGCTGTGAAAATATGTTGTAGTGACTGACTAAGTATTGGGTGTGGTTTTTTTTTTAAAAAAAAAAAAGCCTGCTTCTAGGTGAATTAATTAAATGCTTGTGGGTTGCATTGTTTTTTACTTAGCCCTGAAGTTGTAAAGAGTGAGCCATATGGAGAGAAGGCTGATGTCTGGGCTGCAGGATGCATCCTTTATCAGATGGCAACTCTGAACCCACCGTTTTACAGCACCAATATGCTCTCCTTGGCAACTAAGGTATTCAGATTTGCCAGATCAACCTACCTATTATTTCTGCATGTGTTCACTAGATCCACGAGAATTTATGTTTAAGGTTATAGAAGCATAAACTGCTCTCCAAGCTGATGTTTGAATGAGCTCAAGTGTTTATCATTGTATGAATTGCTATATTGCCATTCCAATTGCAAAAACTGCTTGTAAATGTTAGTATGTTATTACCTCTCAGACTAGCATATTTTTATCATTGCATTTGGTGATAGGAGCTTTAGATATGTAAAACTTCTTGATGTACTATAATACTAGATTTTCCATAGCATGGTGTATTACATCTTAGGATGTGATTGCAAATTAAAAAAACATTCTTTGTTTGTAGTTTTTTTAAATGTTTCCCTTATTCAGATATAGTAGCCCATTGGTTTACAATGATTATATACGTTAATAGAGATACTTGATTAGAAGTGACATTCTGTGTTAGAAGATGTGTTCCAAGTTGTTTTGCAAGTTAGAGCTGATGATGTAATGCCCATCAGGTTATTTCAAGGAGCAGTACTTATCCTATGGGATAAGTATATCTTCAAATAAAAATGGAATATTTTCCTTCAATTATTTGTAGATTATTTATTTTGCAGATAGTAGGGGCTGTGTACGAACCCGTGCCAGAAGGACTGTACTCTGAAAAAGTGTCATTTGCCATTAAGAGGTAATTACTCATGTAGTTTTATTTCGACATCC